ATATGACAATAAAATCAAAGTTGAGTCGGCTTTCTGACAGTTTTATCCTCCAGGACTGACCGGGGATCATCTGATCATGTATTATCTACCGTGCGCCTGTTACCAATAAGTGGTTTGGTTTGTTCTTGTGTAAATGAATAAAAAAAAAAAAAAAAATTATGACTATTGGTTAAGTCGATGATCAAATATCTGGTGACCGAATTAGAGGTAAAGAGGGCGTTGGCACATGAGAAAGAAAAAAAGTACAACACTAGTGCACAACATTAAAACAATAAATCAAAAGTCCTTTTTTTTTTTTGGAAAAAAATGCAAACTAAGGTTTGACCAAAACCTTTTCTGTTTTAATTTTTCTTTTTTTTTTTTTTTAACTTTCCTTAATGACAGAAGTAGGCAAACATTTCTTTAAATGTCCTATCAATAAAGATTTTTTATGATGCTCCAAAATCCACGACATCTTTCAGTTAACATTCCTCTTTGTTCTGGTGCACTGGTGGCACTGGGTAAACAAATAATTTGAATGGCTCAACTGCATTATTTTGCTAATGCCTCATTGTACAATAAGTTATTATGACATTTGCGGAAGACAATTTTAAGATGTAACTAGTTAAAGTTTGAATGAACAATTCATGTCTAAAAAAGCGGCCCAATAGTTATCTTAGGAAAATGCCAGCTGCTTTACTTAGTTCTCTAAATTTCTAGTCTTCCGAGCCAAGTACAACAACCTGTTCCCGTCTTGATCAATGCATTCAGTTGAGATTCATTTGAGGCTTTTAGACAGCCAGACTTACCTTGAGCGTGTCAGCACAGAGAACATACTCATGTATGGCAGGGCACAGGATTTCAGAGAGATGCTGAGTCTGCTCCTCTGTTTCCTTACTACAACGCTCCACACAGTCGGCCACACTTTTCAGGGAATCCGCCAGGACATCCTCCGAATTTGCCCATTGGACATACATGGGGTGGTACTGCTTTAACTCATCCAGGTACTCTGGTGAAACAGAGGACAAAGGTGAAAAAAAAAAAGTAAAAATGACCATGACATTCTATGAAGTTTCGCATTAAGCTGCTAATCAAAAAAGGAATTATGAAACATCTGACCAACTGACCACCATACATCTGAAACCATACAGTTCCATTTTTCTAAATAACTCATGAGTGATTATTATTATGATTTTATTTGCATATCCCTTTTGCTCAATTGCATTGATCATTGTTCAGTTTTTTTCCCCCCCATTCTTAGCAGTGTTGATCTACTCACTAATGTCATATTAATAAAGTGAAAATTAGTCGACTTGTCCAGTACTTCTTAATGGTCCACTGCTTTTAGAATCTCAAGTTGGAATTAATATAATAAAAATATGCTTGTTTGACAAATGCACTGATTTTTGCCCTCTGACTTGAAATGGTGAAACGACCACAAATATAGCAAAAGGGGTCAGGGTTGCATTTACGGCGAGAATATACATACCTATTTAAATAAAACACTAAGATAAAATAGTTACAAGCTTTGAAAACTAAAAAAACAGCATAAAATGAAATAGAACTTATAACGGTACGCCCATGGTTACATGGTTAAGAGAAAAGTCAGCACAAATCCTCTTAATTCCTACTATCCTAGCTTTCTGTTTGCAGATATTGATAGTACTGACCTATTGGAGAAATATAAGATTTTTTTTTATTTTTTATTAATCAGTGTAACAAACTACAATACACGCTCTAAATTCCATGCATGTATCACTCTACCTTTTTGTTCCCTGATGATCCTTTGAGTGACTTTATCAGCAGAGGTTATCTTGCTGCTGAAGACTTCCAAATACTCCTGCATCTGAGTGAACTCTTCGGGTCGGCTCTTCAATCCCCGTACGGTGTTGGCCACTGCCCTCACTGTTTCTCCCATTCTGCTGAGGAAGCCTGGACCCTGCTTCTTGTGAGATGCCAGATCCTGCAAACAGTCAAATGACAATCACACACAACAAAGGCACTGAACTGTGCACGTTCACACTCTCTGAAGACGTCTGTGAACCAACATATGTTCAAATCCGCCATCATCAACCTCAGAGGCGAGAGAGTACAGTATGTCAACAGCGTACTAGTCTTTTATCCAAATTGTGCTAGAAGATGTTGATGGCTAGAGAACAACAATTTTAGTAAAATAGCAGATTAAAAAGATGATGAAAGATGAAAGACTAATTTACTTGTTGAAAATGAACAGATGCAGAGCCGGTTGCGGTAACTGCCTTACTTGCTGGATGGAACTAGTTTGTCACTTTTGTTGATTTAAACCAGTGATCACCAATTGGCGGCACGCGCGCCGAATCTGGTCCATCGAATCCTCCAGTCTGACCTGTGACTGGATTCCAAAGATCTAATAATGAGTGTCTGGCCCCAAGGTGTCTGTAAATAAATATCCTCACCCTCTGAGAAATATAGAGGCTGACCCCCCCCGTTTGCAACTGTCTTCTTTTCCTGAATGTGCAGTATTGCTAAGCTGGGGTTGAGCAGGGATTTTGAACAACTTTTGGCCGTACGACTAAAGTCATGCAGCCTGCGTTAATATGCTTGGGGTCTTAACCAGAATCAAAAAATAAAAATTGTAATTGAAACAGCAAGGGGGAAACGTCTGACTTCAGCCTCTTATCCATGTGCTTTTTCCTCCCAAATTATTATACAAGTGTTACAGTATTTACTTTTACACTTTGCCTATATGCAAAGTGAATATAAGGCGCACTACGTATGTAACAAATGAGTTGCCTGTTGCGAATGATATATATATATATATATGATGTTGTGCCACCCCTTGAGTTCAGACTCGCACTCATAACGATAAACAACAGTGAAAGCTATTTTTTGTTACTTTTGACAACTTTTAATTAATGATCCACATTAGCTGTCAGGAAATATTTCACTGAGGTAGACACTCCTGCTTGTACTCTAATGTTGGAATCAATTACAATTCCCTCATATTCTTTACCTCTCTTCGTCGTATCGTCTACTCCTGTTGTTTTAGCAACATGGTATTCACAAAAGCTCTGTTATATTGACTCTGGCTTTGTTTGAAAACGGCAACTTGAAGGCCACCTATTTTAGGAAGCATACAACCTACAGCTCTCTGCGGAGTGTCCATCTGTATAGTGCTTTCATTTTCTGTGTACGTATATCGTCCTCCAATGGTGTTGAAATTATTTTGAGAACACAAAGTGTACAGTTTTAGTGTGAAACCTACAGCCTCGGTAAGGAAGACTTGGAGGTGCGGGCTGAAGGACAGAACGGGATGGTTAGCAGTCTTTTTAAGGAATCGATCGAGCGCTTTCCTTCTGGTCTCGATGAAGTCATTACTGAAACGTTCCACCATGCCTTTTACCACAAACTTCTCTGGCAGTGGCTACAAAAACAAAAACAGACAGACAGACAGGATGAATACAAAACCAAAAGTATGCTGTAGAAAAAGTTCTTTGGAAAGTTTTGCACACATATGCATTGCTTGCGTTAAATGAGGGGGACATGGATATTGTGGTCAGCAGATAGTTGAAAGCAGATGATGTAATACATCATCTAATACGTACAGCAGATGACTAATACATACATGGACGATGAGTGTTGGATGGTTTTCCTCCAGTTTGCTCCGGAGCCACACAAAGTCCTGATAGCGCCGGTGTACCTCGTATTCACTGGAGTCAAACTCACTCCTCGTGGTCTAGGTATAAAAGCAGAAGTGACATTCAGACTCAGATTGAAATCATTGAGAACCCGATAACATGTATATTTTTATCTGTACAAACCACTGTTTCACATCTCTGTCAAGTTAGACAACCACAACGTGGAAGCGGAATTGACATCAACCCGCCTACAGGAAGTGATCATTTCAACTTGCATAATGTCTCCAGACTTGCTGAAAATATACAATTTACTTCTAATAAATTAAAAAAGTTTGCTAATCTTGCCATTACAAAACTATTTGATTCTAGAAAAAGCCGAATCATACAAAGTGTTGTGACAACTTTTCTTGCTGTTGGGTACTTTTCGTGTAAGCTGATGGCCATCGTGGTTGCGTTTAACTCATGTTAGAAGTAGGGTTGACTCAATACAACTTTTTCATGTCCGATACTGATTTCAATACTGCAAGATATGAACTTTTCTCCTTCAGCATGCTCATGGCATATTACGAAAGTTAAGGTGAGCATTTGGGCTTACGTGTCAGATCGGACAAAGTATAGCTTTTTTCTTTTTAAAAAACTTCCATCATTGACACACAGCGTTAAAACACGCGTACTAGTTCACATGGGAATTAGTTGGTGAGTGAAGCAGACGAATACATTGCCGTGTTGCTCATTGCGTGGGGGGCGGCCTTGTTTTGATTCGCCGGTTGTATGCCCCACATAGGAATGTGCTATATTTGCCTTCTTTCCTTTGGGGTTTTTTTCTTGGGAACTTTTTGAACCTTCATTGTGGCTCCCAAGAGTACATATGACTCTTCTGATGTTTCTACAGTATGCCCTAGACTATGATGTCAAAACTCTGTTAACAAAGTGAGTGACATCTTTATATGTACAGTATGTGAGATCCGACTCACGGTGAAAGTCGAGGTACGTCACACCGCAGGAACGGAACTGTGACATAAGTCGAGGACCTCCCTTTATTATCTATCAAATCCCACTACTTTGATGTCATTTCAGTTCTGAGTTCGATTCCCAGAGAAACCATATACTTGGTGCCTCCGGGGGGCAGACTGTCGGAGCATCTGTTACAGAAAAACACACAATTTTTCAAGTATAGGATCAATAATATTCAATGTATTATTATTATATTATTATTCTGGGTCATCTTATGGACCTCTACCTGGTGGAATGTGCCTTGAATGCCACAACAGCTGGAGACATCCTAACCAGATGGCTCTTCATACAGAGGTGGAATTGTTCAACATTACGAATAGAATATAGGCATATTAAAAGTGAAGTTTTAAGACAGTAGCGAGATCTGCTGTGATGTATGGTTTATCATTTTCACTGGGAGCGACCAGGATGCACAGCGACAGAAATGACCAAAACGGAGGTACAGTTAAAGTAGAGCACTTTGTAGAAAAGTAAGATTTGTTGAGGAGAGATATTTAGGACAAAGGATGTTGAAGATGAAGTTGTGAAGTAGACGTAGTGAAGATGGCGGCATGGAGATGGTAGGAAGCAGTGAGAATAAGATGGCGGCATATGATCCACTGTGGTGGAAAGGAACACCTAGAAGAAGAAGTCTTACACTCAAAGAGAGTTGCTTTTAAAGAGTCAAGAACATGTAGTTCTTTCCACAGCCTTGACATGCAACTACACTCATCCAGACTCAGACAGTACACATAATCGAGAACATTTTACAGCTTAATGAAACTGATGAAACTTACTCGCGTCAGAACCCTGTACATAATGAAGGTCTCAATGGCAGTCACATGACTCTCTGGGTCGTCAACTGTGATGTAAAGGTCTTTGGTATGAATGTCCCGATGCTCTTCATCTCCGTCCTCCTCCAGTCTGTACTGATTGACCATTGAGCTAGGAGAGTTGGGCACAGGGTTCCCATCTCCATCGACATGGGATGTTTTCTGCACCGATGAGATGATAACAAATGGTGTTACGATACAAGAACATTTTCAGACTCTTTCAAATGTACTGATTTACTGAAATATACTGCTGACACCTACAGTAAAATGCAAACATTTATTTAAAAACTGTATTGAAGGAAAACAGTGAACCAATAACTCATTATCAACAACAACAAACTGCAGGAAGGCAAGGAAATTTAAATGATTAAGAAAACATTTAGGTCCTAGACCTGGCAGCTACTGTACTGCAGAGGATTTGTTTCCTGGCCACAAGACCACGCCCTTGGAAGATGTATATTCGTAGAATTAATAATTGCTCTCAACAGGCCCAGATGGCTGGAAAATGTTAAATGTTGTTGAGCTTATATATTTGAGTATTTAGAGTTGTATATTGTCTACATCTGCTTGAAATACTTGAAAATGAAAATGTATTTTAAAAAGGAAGTCAAGTCAAAGTCAAAGTCAACTTTATTGTCAAAAAAGGGAAGACAGTTGATGTATACACATGCATACACAAAACCTAAAACAGTTTATTTCAGCAACCACAGTTATACTGCCAATGACTGTAGAGGATCTAAAGGACTAGATTTCATATTTTATGACACTTTACAGAATGGTGAGCTTTTAAATGTAGTCTTACAACATTTCTGACTATAATGATAATGAACACATAAAATATTTAAAGAGAAAAATAAGCTTTCTGTATTCTAATAATATTTTACCTGGTCTATGGAATAATGAGAACGTTGTCGTTAAATCCAGCAAATTAAGTAAAATGAACCTAACGAGCCATGTTTTTATTTGCATTATATACATTGCTGGTAAAAGTATGAATCTTTGTGTATGAGTAATTATTCTGCGGACGAATTTATTAGGACAACCAACAGATGTCATTACAATATTACTGTGTGCGTTTTATTTGTAAAATGCTTTGTTTGGGGGTAGTTAATATTCAAATACTAAAAACATGAACTGGTTTTCGTTAGGAATACTAGGAAAAATGTTGTCAAGTACGAAGGTCAGCTCATCAGCTGATCCCGGCCTGGTCTTTGTCCTACGTAGCGATGTTTGTGTTCATTTACGACAAACTGGTCATGTTTAAAACACAGTCTTAAGTAAATTAAACACTAGTCAGAAAGACATATGCCCACTCTGTGGCTGAGTCTGAAACGTTTGCGTTTTTTTCAATTTGCGTTTTATTATGTATACATGTATTTTACCTTGCTAAAAACCTCAAGGTCTTCGTCCTCATCCATATCCAACATGTGTCCCGAGAAGTCCGCGGGGAGAGTCTGGCCGTTAATGTCCATCTCAAACTTTTTTAATGGAATAACTTCATGAGACGGAAGTAAAGGAAGGCGAAACTGTTGACTCCTACCACAACTTTACAGCAGCGCAAAGGAGTGAGGCCGAGCAGCATTTCCCAAAAGACTTTACAAAATAAAAGCATGGTCGCAATAATGATTGTTACTTTTTATTTGCGCTTTATTTTTTAACAAATAAAGTGACCCAGTCATCTTAATACAAAGAAAACACATGATTTTATTATCAGCCACTTTATTGTTGCCAGCCATAAAGAAAACACGTGATTTTATTGTTATCAGCCACTTTATTGTTGCCAGCCAGATGTTATGGAGAAATTGTTAGGAGATGCTGAAGAGAAGGTTAACCAGAATTGCTGAAAATGAAAAATGGTGGAGTCGGTCAATAACCCATATTTTAGAACGACAACTTCTTCAAAACTCTTCAAAGATAGAATCTAAACACTTTCATTGTGGGACAACTGGAAACACAAATTAAGATAAGTAATGACAATGTGTTGACAGTTAAGGAGATTAATTTATAATCTAATAATCAGTTTTATTGCTTAAATAGTGGTATATGAAACATGATTTCACTACACATAAGCATAAGTGACAAAGAAGGAAGAGTTGAAATGGTACAGTATTAATTATGAAAGGGTTTATTTATTCTTTAGCTGTATAACTATAGATTTGCCTGTCTCTTTCTCCCTCTCCCGCAAAGTAGCCGAGGCCTTAATTTTGACGAAACATGGAAGAACTTCCGGTGGGCGATGTTTCCGGTCACTCAGCTCAGACAAGGGGGTGGATCCGGAAGATTTAGGAAAGTAACCCCCTTCGAGATTTAGCTGTTGTGCTTTGCATTTACAGTATACGTTGTCAAAATGGGAAATTTAGGTTTATTGCAAAACCTTACGTTATTTTCCATTCAGAAATGTACTTCAATAAAGTAGTGATTGGAACTACACACATTGCAATAGCGACAATGCCCTTTTGGTGGTTCTGTGCATGTTCTATTCTGTGCAATAGAGTTTCCTTACCGTAAATACTGTAAATAAGTTGACGCATGTACATAATATATAGATTGCGAATAACTTATTTTGTTGACTGAAGGATGGTTTACTGGGTATTAGCTAATGTTTGCCTCTTTAATCACCACATTTATTGAAAATCTCTCTCTCTTTCTTTAATCTAAATCGAGCCCTCATTCCCAGTCACTCGCTTGGTTATTTTACCAATTTTTATAACAATAATATAAAATGTTTTCTAAATTATTATTTTATATTATCACTATATTTGTTTATATCTATGTTTATGATGTTTAGATAAAGGGGATATTAATTTAATTAATTATCAATATATTTCTGGAACGAATTAATTGGTTTTTAGTTGTTTTTTTTTTTTTGGGGTGGGGATGCATTCTAGATATGAGTTGGTCGACACACGAGTGCTCTTAGGGAACGGATTAAACTTGTATCTAGGGGTACAACTGTATCCTACTCTGTCTTAGTTCATCTATGCAAGTTGGCAGTTAATATATATATGGGGCAAGATAAGGCCCGTTAGGCTTTTGAACCCGACCTGACAAATACTGGTACAAGGTATGGTTACATTAATTTAATTCCTTCTGTTTCATGGATTGTAATGCCACAAAATGGAGGCAATCATCTATTTTGCCAAATTTCCTTTGGAGGTTTAGGTCTAATCTTGTACATTTTATTTATATTAATTCAAAAAAGTTCTTTAAGTTTAGTTTTTACTTATATGTTAATGAGTCCAGAGTCATTGTAGCACAGTAGGAAGTACCATTGTCCTACAGTTGGAGGGTTGTGGGTTCTGTCCCAGTAGTGCTGGGGTTTTAACTCCAATAACCTGTAGTGGTAATGAATATATTGATAACATAAATAAACTGTCAAAATTAATTTCCAATATTTTCATTATATATTCAATCTCTAAAATATAGAAAAGGTGTACCATTCACTAACAGTGTCTGTCTCGCCGTTACACAATGCACCAAAAGATGTCACTGTTGAACAAGAAATGCGGTGTGTCAGGCTCTGGCATGGTCGTAGATGGTCTCCTTCATCTCCCGCTTCTACTCCCCACAGACCATGTTGCTGCTCCCACTGTCTTACAGCATCACGTTTTTCTAGTTCAAATCAAACACTTATTCTTTGATAGACACGACATTTCTTACATTAGGGGAGAACAAGTGGAAATATTTTTCAATTTGTTTTTATACCAATTGCTATCAATACACCTGACAAGTTAATTGACTTCAAATAGATTTTTGGGAGATTTTTCTTAAGCTGACTTTGTTAGTTTAAAAGGAATTTGGGTAAAGATTTATGTATGAATTAAGGACAGACTTGTGACAAATTATCACACAGTACTTTTTTTTTTTTTTTTGGAATTGATTATGTGTAACTCTCAGCTCACCTACGTCAGTGCATCATTATGCTGCTCCCTCAAACACGGCCAATTATCCCTAATGGACAGGAGATTTTTTATGACTGTCGATCCATTTGCTCATGTACAGTTACTATTACGGCCTTTCTAGCATTTGCCCGTGTCACTGTGTCTAGTCGGTACTCACTGCAGAAGCTCACTGAATCAGAAACACACTGTGAGATAGACGTCTTCCCTGTATTTCTTATAATGGCATCGTAGCAGTGGCTTTACAAATAATGTTTCACTCCCTTCTTGCCATTTTTGCAATTCAAAATTATGTGGGTGTTGCTTGAGCTGAATACCAAAAAGA